CTTTCCTATAGCCTCAGTGCTTGCTGACAGCAAACACCATCTTTAAGTGGATTTTGGAAGATTTGGTTGGAGATCTCAGTCCTTGATGGTTTGTTTAGGGAGTCAGGTCTGTCCTAGACAAGAGCTGGAGGGAGCTGACAGCACCAAATCCTTGCCAGGTACACGTAGAGCCCAGTTTGGACTCGCCACGTCCTCGACACATTTGTGTTCCTCCACCTCCATCAGCTGGCACRGAGCCAGACAGCATTTGAGACCAAAAGAAAAAAAAAAATTAAAAATCATCCTGAATGTGCAAATCAACTCAAGGGGCTGGGGTGCTTTGTGCCCACAATCAGCAAATCCCTGCCTGTTYGGGAGCCTTTGGCTCACAGCCTGTGCAGGTGGGGGCATTTTCGTGCTCTGCCTGGCTTTGTGCAGATGCCTGACCTGCTGTGACTCATTTCAAAGGMTCGTGGGCTTTGGAGGGATTCAGATGTTTGAGTTCCTCATTCCCAGCTGAACTCCACACGAATACAAGTTTGTCTCACTGACAGCTCTGCAGAAGGGTATTTGTCCTACTCAGTCTTATATTCTTATTTGTCATGATCAATCTTATATTTCTATTTGTCCTACTCAATTATATATCCTTATTTGTCCTACTCAATCATATATATTCCTATTTGTCCTACTCAATCCTATATTCCTATTTTTCCTTCTCAATCATATATTCCTGTTTTTCCTACTCAGTTCTATATTCCAAAGGGACCCAGATCTCTCACAATCCTTTGTTAATACTCAGACCCGGGATTTGGGGAATTCCCCCTCTGCCCACCACCATCCCATCCTCATCCCCTGGGTCAGGATCACTGTGGGATTTGGGGGATTCTCCCTCTGCCCACTACAATCCCATATCCTCATCCCCTGGGTTGGGATCACCACAGGATTTGGGGTATTCTCTGTCTGCCCATCCCACAGAGCCCACCACAATCCCATCCTCATCCCCTGGATGGGGATCACCATGGGATTTGGGGGATTCTCCCTCTGCCCACTACAATCCCATATCCTCATCCCCTGGGTTGGGATCACCACAGGATTTGGGGTATTCTCTGTCTGCCCATCCCACAGAGCCAAACACAATCCCATTCTCATCTCCCGGGTGGGGATCACCATGGGATTTGGGGGATTCTCCCTCTGCCCATCCCACAGACCCCAACACCATCCCATCCCCATCCTCAGTGCCCCCCAGCCCATCCTACCCAGGATGCCATCCCGCAGCTCCTGGCTGATGATGGGCAGGTCATCCACGTCCACAAAGTGCAGGTGTTTTTCCGAGGGCTGGCTGGCGGCGGCCGACAGCTCCATGAAGTTCCCGCGGCCGGTGCTGACGATGAACACCGTCACCCCCATGTCCTTCAGCAGCCGTGTGGGCTCTGAGATGTCATCACTGGAGAATCCATCTGTCACCCACACCAGCACCTTGGGGACGTCTGGCCGGGCTCCAGCCTCCCGGCTGAAGAGTTTTTCCTTGGCGTAGCTCAGCGCTTTGCCGGTGTTGGTGTCACCCATCAACTGCTGTGTGGCCCCAATGGCTTTTCTCAGGGTGCTGCTGGTGAGATACTGGTTAAATGGGAACTCCATGGTAGGAGTGGTGCTGATGTGGATGATGCTGGTCTGGACGTCCCTGGGGCCAAAGGTGAAAGGCTGCAAAAGGTCCCACACAAAGTCCTTGACCCTGGAGAATTCATAGTGGGAGACACTGGCAGAGCTGTCCAGCAGGAACAGGAGGTCGCCCTCGCTGTTGGAGATGGGACCTGGCAGGGGACAGAGAGAGAGGGAACAGTGAAACCAAAACCTGCACTGAACCTGCTAGGAAAGCTTGGGATTCTTGTGCCAAACCCCAGGGTCTGGGGGGAGATGGCAGAGGCACAACAGAGCTCCTGGAGCACCAAGAGAGATCAGACAGAAATGGAGAAATTAAAGTTCCCTGAAGGTGATTATTTACAAGGGCATGGAGTGACATTATTATTTATTTATAAGCATTATTTACAATAATTTACAAGGACATGAAATGTCATTATTATTTACAAGCATTATTTACAATTATTTATAAGGCATGGAGTGACAAGGGAAGGGGGTGCCTTCAAACTGACAGGGGGAGGTTCAGGTGTGCCATTCCAGCGGGGCTTTTTGGGGTTCCAGAACTCCCAGAGGTGTTTTTCCTTCATGCAAACACCGTCATATCTGTAACACTCAGCCCTGAATGAGATGAAAACAAATTCCTCCCATTCAGCAGAAAGAATCCATAAATCC